AAAAAAAAAAAAAAAACACGTTCCATGTCACCTGAGCTGTAGGTCCCAGCAGCTGAAAGAATCGGCTTCCGAGGGTGGGAACAACTCCGCCAGGCCCACGTCAATGACCACAGCCTATTCAGAACAACGTCCTATGCCCCGGACCGGAGGGGTAGGCAAAGACACCAGATCAGGGATCTGATTGAAAATTTGGAGTAGAAACAATCTCACCAAAATGGTTGCAGGTTGGTAGCTAAGGCAGCTACGGGCTGCCTAGAGCTGCATTCCACTGCTGCACTGACCAATCCCCTGTGCGTAATTGTTCTTGAGAACTGTTCACCCGCATCCACTCGTCAGCCGCAGAAATGCATGGTTGCTGTCTCCTTCCTGTTGCTGTTGTCGTCCTTATTGTCAGGTTCCCGCCTCTGGCGGCTGGACGTTGGCGAGCATGATGTTCTCGAGCTTCAAGTCCTTGTGCATGACACCTGAGCCGAATACTGTTAAAGTTCCAGCCGCTCTTGCTAGACAGTGCACGTGTGGCGGCGGTGGCAACGTGCACCTTTCCAGCCTGGTGGCAGCTCCGGAGTTTGTTTGGTTGCATACAGAGTTTCCCTCAATGCTCGAACCTATTTGTTAATGCATTGTCGGAATTTTGCACAAACCCGCTTTGTTGTGTATGTGACTTGCGCATGACACATGCAAACGCTGTAGAGATAGCGGTTGCCGCTCCCGACAAGGGGCACGCTGCAGAGTTATTCGCCAAAAATGACCAAAGAAACCCCGGCATTCCATTCTAAGCTCAGGCACCTTTCGCATGACAATAGGCGACTCCTGAAGAGCAGCAGGACCAAGAGGGTGGCCCAGCTTTAGAATGAGTCTAATGCCCACAGAGTGCTGCCGCAGAAGGTCTGTAGTCTTGAGGTCTGGCAGGAACTTCAGAACCCTTATGTTGGCTGGGCTGCATGACAGCCGGTTGCGAGAAAAGCCTGTAAGCAGACGGATCATACAACATGAGCAGCGTGGTTGCAAGGTCTTTGCTGCAGACACAGAGATGTATTGCTTTCTTATGACCCAGAAGTCTTCATAACAATCAGCTGCTCCACCATATCAATTTTCTGACAGTGTATCTGTTGATTTCTGTTGCCAATAGTACCCGATGTATTGCTGACCTGCGTACGTCTCAACCTTTTAAATCCCCCCACATCTCTCAAAGAATGGACATCTTAGTTTTCGGTATCCCCAAGAAGCGACCCACAACCGAGATCCCACTTAAGTCTTGTGACACCCTCACCCTGTCCTTCGGAGGCCTGGCGAAAGACATCACGCACCCAATTCTCCTGGAGCCAGATTGCAAAGTGCAATCCCCTCCAATGACAAGAGCACCACCTCCCCCTCATAAAGTTGTCACGTTTAGAATAACAGGCGTGCTACGTACAGTGGGGGCTCTACAGGTGCTGTATAAGCACTGCTCAGCAACTGTCTGATGGAAGTACACATGCTGAAAAATTTACGGCTGTATGGGCAACCTGTACTCAGTCAGGGGCTTACAGTTGTACAACACGACACCATAACACGTTCGCGCCATGCATTTTAAGATGCTGGCTCTTGAAAGTAAGGCAAGCAAGCAACATCCGCATCTTCACCTGCCAGCGGTCCTCTAAGCGCCGCTTCTTTGCATATGAGCCCTCCACAATGTCCAGCAAGTCACCACCTGTGGCATACCCTGCCTTACGAGCCTGTCAAATAAGACGCATGATTTGTTGCTTTCAGAATTGAGTTTTGAAGATGGAATGTTGGAAGCCAATGCTTGGCAGCGTTACAACGGTTGCAAGCACCAACCGTCAACAGACTGTTCACCATCCTGACTCATCTTCTCTGAGGCACGAATCTGGGCCGTAATTCCTCTACTTCAAGGAAATGTGATTTTAAGCTGGCTTTGAGAGAATGGTCCAGGTCCTGCAAGGTCCCTGAACTGTTTTTTCACCTCCTATTCACCTCCTTGTCTGATTTGCTTGCAGGCAAGTCATCACACAATGGTCCTGCCCCAACACGCCTGACCCCAATGCCACCCATCCGCACTCCCAAACCCTTCAACTGCTGAAACTCAAGCTGAAATTCTCTCCGGCACAGATGTGCCTGGGAGCATGTCTGTTATCAGATATAGATTCAGCGCGTCCGCGCAGTATTCCTCAGTTGCCATCGCTCTGCGAGTGAGATAAGTTATGGCCCGTGGAGGTAGACTCGACTAGCCACCCGAAACCCACGTCAGCCGCACCCTTGGCCCTGTAGCCTGTAGCCTGCACCTAACTGACTTGGCACCCAGAGCGAAACAGAAAGAGTGCCCTCTCAATCAGAACAGATGCAAATAACCGCAACACGGAGGGGTGATCAAGAGCTCTGAGCTTGTCGATCTCCTGCCGGGTCCAGGAGTTCAGGATTCGTTCTCAATACGGTTGGGCAGACATGCTTCAAGCACACACAGGTTGACGAGCATCCTACACTGAGAATGCGCCTCCATGATGAGCTTCAAAGGATAACCTTCGTTGCTCCGAGTTTGTCTTCAACACGATGTTTGAGGAAGCTCGAGACAATGCTGTCCATGAGCGGTACACGTAATGCTGACTGTGCTGTGCTAATACGGACTGCGCGCATACGCGTCATAAGGACAGCTGTGTTTTTCACTAATGCTCAAGCAGCTCAATGCAGCAATGCAATAGCCAAGCGGCCTCCATTCAGTGCCTTCTGCTTGTCAACAACCTTCATGACACGAGTAGTGCCAGTAAGCTTGCACCTTGGCGACACACGGCGGCACCGGGAAAGGGACTCATCAAACCAGACGCCGAGCCACCTCTCGAGTGGCACTCGGATTTCCCTGGTAAGAGTGTTTATTTTTTTGTTGTCTGGTCTTTTTTGTTGTTTGGGCTTTTCGGGTTTTTTTTTTTGCT